TATCTGGAACATCATCTTGCTGTATCTTAATAAAAGTTTGGCCTCTAACAGCAATATGGATAACTAGATGTCATTCCAGACCTGGAGCTGGAATCAGAATTTTAACATGGAAGGGACGGCAGTGTTAGCGGTGGAAAAACAGCACCAGGCATTAGCGAAGCGTTAGGCCAGACCCCAGTTCAGCAACCTCAGTTCTGCAACCCTGAGTTCTGAGTACGAGAAGAATTCAGAACCAAAGAACTCATATGAGGGAAAGTTTATTTTGAAAGTTACACATGTAGTAGAAGGGCCCTTGGAGCTTATGAGTAAGAGGGAGAGAGAGATAAGAGCCTTGAGGGGCAAAAGAGGGAGCAGAGAGAGAGAGGGAGGGAGAATGAATATGAATGAATGAGAATATATACCCTGGGGAAAGACAAGGTGGGCTGTGCTCCTTAGAAAGAGCGGTCCTCCATCTTGAGGGCTTTTATCTGGGATCTCAGGCAAGGCTCTCAAAAGAACATTCGTCAGCTTTCCAGGTGTGCCCCCTCTGGGCCTCCACTGATTGGTTAGCACCAGATGGTCCTTAGTCAATGCAGCTGGTCCGGATGTCAGCCATGGCATTGCTCCACCTGGTTTTGTTGCTTTTCTGGGCCTGGAGCTGAAGCATAGTTGAGGCCCAGAGGTCTTCTCCAGAGGTTAAGGTTTAAGAGTGTAGTTGTGCAAGGACTTGCAGTTTTGCCCCTTACTAGGTGTCTGGGGCTCTCTGCCCTGCTCACCCTCTGCAGCTGACCCACCATTCCTACTCTGCTTGTGCCTACCTAACTGCCCTACTGCAGTAGTGGGGTCTGATCTTTGTTCTGGCTCCTGGCACTGACTTTGAGATCAGATGATATAATAATTGCTTAATAATTTGTCTCTGTAAGAATAATAGCAGCTAAAATTTGTTGGATATTATATGTTGAACCTATGCTTTTATGAATTATTTCATTTACTATTACAATAATCTCATAACATGGGCACTCTTATAGGTCCTATTTTACATATGAAGCAATTAAGACCTAGGGAAATTAGGAAACTTATCCAAGATAATACAGTTTGAGGGTGGAACGTGAGGATTCTAACTCAGTCAGTTTGTCTCCTTCCAGGGCCTGCTCACTTAACTATCACCCTAAATTGATTCTCTTTCATAATATAGCTTGATTTTATCTGTTTCAAAAAAAATCATATTACCATAGTTTCTTGACAGATCCACTCCCATCCCAAGTTGAAGGAAATTCCACCACATCCCTCAATAGTTCATTGTGGTAACAAATTTTTCTTTAAAGAAAAGCATTACTCAATGTTTTAAGGAAGGTTAACAATAAGGTGGGCATGGGCTCAGATGTCACATACACACGTTCCTTCACGATCATCGACTTTATAAACACAAATAAACTGAATGGGATTAATAAAAACAGATCTGGGTGGAGTATAACTCATCACAAAGAGGAGCCTGTGTGTGTGTGCGTGTGTGTACCTACGTATATGCTAGAGGGCATTTTATTTGACTATTCCTTGATGTAAATATTTAGGATTAATGGTGGGTATTTAGCCTGGAATTGCCAGATAACAGAGACTGATGTAAGGACTTATGGAAAATACATTTTTGGGGAGTGTGATCCCAGAGAGCTTGTGAAGAAAAGAGGGAGAGACCCAGCAAAAGAAGGACAGCCAGTACAAGGATGAGTTGTCAAGCTGGCCACTGCTTCTGGCCACTGGCTGCTTAATTTAGTAAGACCACCGGAGGAGCACTATGTAACACATTTCAAGATCCATTGTTGGAGGACAGAAAGGGGAGCATTTATCCTCCTATTGGGAGTCCCCAAGGGGGGACTCCCATCTCCCATTGGTCAGAGATTTACCACAGGGCGTTTAATCTCTCATGTTTCTCTCTGGATTTTAGCTTACACTGAAAGTTTAACAAAGAAGCCGCTGGGTTGGCGGGGAGAGATGTAAGAGAAGCCTAGGGCAAGGCACTGTCAGATGGCACCTGTGTGAAGCCGGCTGGAGCCACTGAGAACTGGTTGTCCCTGCAAAGGCTAAAAGACACAGGTGAGGCCCAGAGGATTTTAAATGGTGCACGGGAGGTGTGATATTGCGGGTAACATTATTTTCTTGTAGGTTCATAATTTTTCATTTTTTTGGCCTCCTTTCCTGTAAGGACTTCAATGTCCTATATATCATTTTCATTAGGATTAATAGAAGATTCTCAAACTTTCATTATCTGTTCATTCTTTGAATATGAATTGAGCATTTACTAATATTCATTGAGTGTGTCAGGCCCTGTGTAAGGAACTGTGGATAGAAATCTAAATACAGGGTATGGCCAAAGTGGGTTTACGGTTGTGAGTATAGGAAACAGTTTATTTTTACATTACTATTTATTAATTGCTTTATTATTTTCCATACAAACAACTGTAAATCTATTTTTGCCCCACCCTGAATGAGAAGATTTTCTGCTGCCATAAAGTTACTGGGTTATCAACTCTGTGCCTACTACAATACCAGCACACAGTAGGCACTTTTAAAAGAAATAAAATGGCATTCTAATACAATCAGTATTAAATGAGGATTAAGTGCTATGCAAATCTTAAATGACCAGGAGGATGTTCAGCTAGATAAACCACTCTATCATCCTTGCAGGAAGTGTCTTACCCACAGACTATAATGGCTTGTGCCTGCCATGGGAGTAAAGGCTGTTTACTTTATTATCTATGTAGTGCCTAGGAGAATAAGGGAGGCTGAAATTTAGAGAGATTTTTGTACTCATCTATCAGTACGGTACCTTCGAGGCATAAGAGAACATTCTAAGAGCTGGAATCAGAGTATCACCAGCAGTGGCCACACCTACATTCATCTGGCAGCCTTCCCAGGCAAAAGGTGGAGGATGCCCTATTTCGTAGCCAGTACGCTTTCCCTGAGCATCTACTGGCCAAACCACCACCAGATGACCCTACCCAAAGTACTTGGTTTCAGGAACCAACTTATTTCAGTACTTCCATGGAAGCGCACTGGCAGGAAATATATGGGTTCATTAAAATCTTTGATGACCAGTTAGCTGTATTCTATTGGTCACAGGAAAAATACCATGATAGGGACATATTTATATGGTAATAAATTTTTCAATGCCCTAGAAAACTGCTGACATAAAAATAGGAATAAAATTATTCAAATGATAACATTTTTGAGGGCAAGTAAGGCTTCTTAGCCCTGATGGTGGTTTCCCTCACTCCAGACCTATCTTCTATCCTTATGTGACAAGGAAGCCCTAGGTAACATCATGCTGATTACCTCCGAATTAGCTGATGTATGGGGAGCTGTCACTATTCTTTAGTATTCACATTAAAGTCTCAGAGTAGAGTGACCGGAGCATGCCATGCTTTATGGAGCAGTCAAGGCAGCAAGGATGCCAGAGGCTTTCAAGGGAAACTTTCCACCTGTGGAGAATGGCAGGCCATTGTGTAGCTGTGACAGGGAGGAGGCCCCAGACTGGGAGCTGGGGGACAGAAAGGTAAACAGAAGCGGCTCTTCAAAGGGCTCGCTCTAGTGGTTGAGCACAAAGCCCCCTAGTAGCAACCATTACCTAGCTCCCCCAAGAGAATTTCGCGGTAGAAAAAAGTAATGATTTTTTTTCTGGAGAATAGATCTGCAGGCCTGGTGTGCCTCTCCCCATGTACCAAAGGCTGAGCTGGGGCAAAACAGCTTAAGAGACAGCAACAAGGCAACAGGCATGCTTACAGGTCTGCTTTAGGAACAGCTGTACATTGCTCTGGGTGTGGGGGTGGGGAAGGAAGCTGGTATATGTGCATGTGGGTGGGTGGTGTTAAGACTGCCTCCCTGCTTTGACGGGAAGAAAAAGAAAAGCAGAAGAGTGAAGATACACAGAGAAGGGGAGTCGGGGTGGGGGGTGAGGGTAGGAGGTAAGGGGGACGGTCGAGTGTAGGCTCTGCTGCAGCAGAATGTGTGGGGGGTGGCATGGGAGTCTTAGGAGGAATGTGGGTGTAGAAGTTACAGGAACAAGCCAACCTTCAGGTTGTAGTTGCAAATCATCAAGCCCTAAATCAATCACTCATTCTCTTCAGAATCACTTTTCTCCATTTCGACAAAAATGCTTAAAACGATTAATGAGTGAAGAGAATGTGCCAGGTTACCTTTTTAGTTTTAAGGCTCCTCCCTTCTCTGTAAGGTTGTCTGAGGACCCCAGGATCCAAAAATGTGTGGGAAAGTAGTAGGACCCATCTGTGTAGTACATTTGGAATTAAGAGGTACATATTTGATGGTTTTATATTTACACTACAAACTAACCTTAGACTCTTAGAGAAGCCGTTTCCACCTCGATATGCCTCAGTTTCCTCATCGGTTCTAGGAGAGTAACACGTGCTCGACCTCTGCGCGCTGCTGTGGTACGGCTGGCTGAGACTGCACAGTTTGTGAGTGCGCTCTCCTAAGCCGGCACTTCACTCTGCGCGCCGCAGGAAGGCACGTTGGTGTTATCCTCCGCCCCGAGAGACTGGTGGAGGAAGACTCGAGCTCTAAAATTAGTCCAGCTTGCAGGCCAGGCGCCGGGAGCGCCCTCCAGCTCGCCCGCCTCCCCCACTACCCTCCCCTTCCCCGCCCGCCCCCTCTCCCCTGCGCCGCGCTCCGAGATCGCTAGTCATCCCGGACGCCGAGGCTTCTCTCCCCCTCGCCCTTTTCTCTCGCGGTTTGGGAGGAGGAGACAGCGAGAGAGAAGCGAGAGGGGGAGACGAGAGAAAGGGGCTTGGCCGTTCGTCGGCGTCGGCTGTGATGGGGAGCTGGGAGCAGCGAGGCGGCGAGCAGTAGCGACGGCAGCGACAGCAGCTCGGAGCCGACACGAGAGTCGGCGCTTCTCCCGGCAGGCTGCGCTGTGATCTGGGCTGCAGATTGGGATCTCGGGCCCCCGACCCCCCCTCCTCCCGCTGCCGTTCTCCTCCTCCCGGCTTCCCTCCTTCGCCTGCGAGCCCGCGTGGCGGCGGCGGCGTCCCGGGCGCAGAGCGCCTCTGCTCGCGGCTCTAGTCCCCGCGAGCGCGCAGCGAGCTCTGCGGCGGCAGCCGCCGGGTGGCCAGCTCGCCCTGGGCAGGAGCGCCCGGAGAGGAAGACCACCGGGAAAGCGCCTAGTGGATTTGTGGATCGTTCGCGGAGGCAAGGGTGCGTGGGGATTTTTAACGTGATTTTTTGGCTGCCCGTTGCACCAGCTGGAGCGCGCCATCCGGACCACAGCTCCAGCAGCCTAGTGCAAATGGGCTGCGAGGTGGGCTCCGGGAGGCGAGAGCCGGCGGAGCGCGTGGGGGAAACTTTTCACCTTGTAAAGTTCCCATCTCGGCACGGCTCCGAGCCGCCGCCGCCGCTGCAAAGAAGGGTAGGAGGTTCGGTCCTGCGGCGGTAGCCGGGAGGTTGTCATGGAGAGTTGGCTAAGTTTGGGACTGAGGACCTGGGATGAGGCGCGAGGGGATTGCGGATCGGTGCACCCATCTCCATCCCCTCCCAGTCCTGGCCGCTGGTGCAGGTGGATGAGAGGGTCTAGGCGGCGAGCCTGCTTGGTAGCCCGTCCCCATCAGACGCAGTGGAAATGTTCAGATGCCGATGAATGCACTTGAGGGACCCGGAGGCACAAGTTGGGTCGTCGCTTGGCTAAGCTTCGGACAGAGCTGGGAACCCAGCTGCAGTTTGGCCGGGGTGGGGGGGGGGCGTTGTGTTGCGGGGAAGGGATTATTAGTCTGCGGGTCTGCCCCACGCTTCATTCCCGCCTACGAGGGTCATGGACAGGGTGAAATTTACTGAACTGGCAGCAGCTCCCGTAGAGCCACAGCCTTTTACAGAATGGTGGGAGGAGGGACTTTTCCTGCTATCTTGACAGGGAGAGAGGGAAACAAGAGTACCATGGGTGAAGAGTGCATGATTTTTGGCGGGCGTGTGTAAAGGTTGCTGTCTTTGGAAAGAAAAAGGAAAAAAAAAAAGCTGAGCGGGCCTGATTGTCCTAGGGGTGCATTGCAGCCCTCTCTGGTGGCGGGGGTGGGGGGTGGGGGCGAGGGAACGTGAGGGCGCACCGGGTCTGCGCTCTGGGCCCCTTCCCAGGAGGTCCTGGATGGACCCCCCCTCGCCCGGACCATTGTGGGTGCAGGGCCGAGGTGGGGGTCTGAGGGGCGCGGGCAAGGAGGCAGCCGTCGTGGTCCAGTCTGTCTTGGCGCGGCGTGCAGTGCGCACCAGGATTCCGCCAGTGGGGGTCGCTGAGCTAAAGTGCATCTGGCCGCCGGGCTTGCGCGAGGTGGCGAGCACGGGTATTTTTAGCACTACTGTGGCCTGTGTTCCTCCCTCCCCTATGCCACTGACTTTGGTCGCGTGTGCTTTCCCAGACGGTTAAACATTGACCACGATTGGGCTCTGCAGAAGGCAACTTTTATTGTTCACTTTTCCCTGCCCTACTCTCGTAGGCGGGCGTGCACTTGGGGCAAGGATATGGGGCTGGCGGGAGTTTAGCTGCGAGCTAAGGGAGCCTCGAGTAGCCTACGGCGCAAGGGTGGCGCCCCCGGGATGTGTGTGCGGTAGTGGCGGCGGCATCCTGCAGCTGCTGCTCCGTGTAATAATGTGGGCGAACCAGGCAGGGGGAGGGGGTCCCCGAATGAGTGTGAGGAGGGAACGAGGATGCCGAGACCTGGCGAGGTCGCCATGGGGGGCTTGGAGCGTTTCCCGGGAGGGAGGCGCGCCTGCAGCCCGAAGAGTGGGCGGCCGGGGGCTGTGGCCGGTCGCGGATCGGGACCGGCGGCACCTGGCCGACTCCCTGCGTCTCGGCGCGGAGCTTCCTTCCTCTGGTGGCCGCCGCGCACTGACTTCGACTCCGCTTCTGGTTTGGGCGAACCTGCTGCAGCCGCGGCGGGAGGGTGGGAGGGAAGAGCGGACTGCGCTAACAAGGGAAGAGTCTTCTCTCTTCCTCTCCTCGCCTCCCCCTTTCTCCCTGCCCCAGACTCCGGCGCGTTTGTTTTCCAAGTTGGATCCTACTTCCATTTACAAGTGTCAGACAAACGCGCGCAAACCTCCCCCACTCACCCTGGCCCCAGCCAGAAGGGAGAGGGGGCGGGGGAGAACTCTCTGGACAGCGCCTGGGGCTGTGCACGCAGCCTTGGGGGCTTGTGCAGCTTGGGTTCACACTTGTGTGGCTCCTTGATGCTTAAAAAAATACACAAACAAACCAGCGAAGCCAAAACCACTTCTGGCCACTTGTATTCCGCCGCTTTTCTTCTCGTTTTGGACGTATTAATTTTCTGGCCCCCAAGCTCGTCTTTTCAAAGACTAGTCGGGGGCGGTGGGAGGAAGGGGGCGGGGGAGCAGGCCAACCAGTTCATCACGGTGGATTTGTGCTCCTGGCTTTGTTGCTAGGATTAGATTCTCTGATTGCGCCCGGCCCGAGTTAAAATAGATGCGGAGAGACTGGGAACCCATCAGAAAGGCTGCAGACCACTTTGCCTCTGATTCAGGAGGCAAGTTCAGGTGGTGGAAAAGGGGGTTAGCTCGCCATCTAGGAATTGAGAGCTGAGGTGCCCGCTTTTCAGTGTAGATCAAAGAGAGCCCAGATTGCGCTTCCACTGGCAGGCACTGAACTTCTCCTAACGTTTATCGAACGCTTGAATGATGTTCTGGTTTGTGACGTATAGATTTGAATCTGACAAGGAAAAGAAGGAAGGGGATAAAGAGAATGAGGGAAAAGCGATTGAGATTCTGCAGAATCCTGGAAATTGCACAAAGCCAACTGCTCTTGCCTTTTTTATTTCTTATTCCTAAATTGGAGCCGTTGAGCAGGGAGAGAATAAAGAACAGCCAAGAAAACCAGGGCGCCAAGAGACAAAGACAAAAAAAATGCATAATAACTTTAGTGCTTTGATGTTCTTTTTTTTTTTTTTCTAATGGGGTTAGAGTGGGGGAAGGGGTTTTAACGTTTTACAAGGAGAAAAGTTGTCTCTTAGAATTAAAACCAGTGCTGATGTTTAATCATGAATCCTAGTTGTTGCCTTTTTGGAACTTGGACAATGAAGGGTGTTGGGGCCAATTTCTATGCACAGTGTGCTGGGATGAGAAAGTTCCCAGAACTGTCCAGTTATAATGTCTTCATATCTGAACCACACAGAGAACTCCACATGAAAGGCAGCTGGCTCAGAGATCAGAAATCGGTCAGCTGCTGGGCTGGCTCCATCTCTTGTTAGCTGCAGGATTTTCACAGCCAGTGTTTGTTGCCCAGTGACCGGCTATGAAGCTCCCACCCCACCCCACCTCTCCTTTGCTCTTTTTCCAAATTTTATTTATTCTGGTTCCTGGCACAGTCATTTGGGGGCATTTTTTAAAAATAGGACGTAGTCTATCTCTTAACTAGCAATTACAGTTGTGCTGAGCTACTCAAAAATGAAATGAGTAGCAATAAACAAGAGTGTGTGCCCACTGACCTGTATGCTATATGGCTATTTTGCCAGCTCATAGCTTTTTGTAAAGCAGCAGCTCTTCAGACTGCTCACATAAGAACATTTTGATGTGTCAGGTTATGTTATCCTTGCTTTCTCTATTCGCTGCAGAATGACCTGCTCTAATCTGGCTGATGAATTATGTCAAATAGAAAGAAGTAGGCAATTACCAGAGGAGAGGATATTTAGTCATTACCAGCTGGTCTGAGAAGTGCTTCCTATGGCTTTGTGTTGTTATGCTGTATTAATAGCTCATAATGCAAATAGGACCAGCATGGCTTAACCTTAACTGGTTTTTGGAGTTGGGTGTGATATTCCTTGATACCCCTATCAGTCCAGTGAATGGTGGGTTGGCTTCTTCCTCTGGGGCAAGAGGAAAAGGATAATTTGGGGGACATTTGGCGTTTTTCCATTGTGGGTTATTCCTAGGGTTTCCCTTCTGCGGGAACATTGAGTGGGGATCATTCGATGGGATCAGGTGGGCAAGTCCATTCAGACTGATTTCTTTTTATTGCTGAGGAAGGACTTTTGATGAAACCATTGTCCTTGCTGATTTTGACTAGCAGCAGCGAGGAATGAAAATTTAAAAGGGGTTCTGACAGACCCTTAGAGGGAATTGGGACATATCTTCTGCCCAATTTCTTCCTACAAATAAGGGAGTCCTGACTTCCACAGATATTCATAGTCTTAAAAAATTGAAGGAAGAAACACAACTCCTCTGTATATTGCTTTGCTTATTGATAAAATTTTCTGAAAGACTTTTCAGTCTCTAATTGTTGCCTGTCTAAGTATGACCACCGTTCTGCCCACTTGGAAGGGTTGGGTCTGTGTTTTATATCCTGACCTCTTCAGGACAGCCATAGTGCGTACGGCCTAATAGGCACAAAACAAATATTTTCAGTTTAGGTGACTTTCTCTGGGAAAATCCTGAGGGTAAATATCTTTTCTGTGTTTTTGTCAATATGGTTCTACTTGCTTCTGAAACTTACTGATTTTTCTGTCAGTTGAAGAGTATCTACTCCTTTAATAAGCTTTTTTTCCCCCACGTTGTTTACATTCCCTCTTTCCCCCAGATCCCTTTCCAAGAATAATTATAAGAAAGCTTGCCTTTCCTTAAATAAACAAAGATTCTGATTGAGTTTATTGAGAACATATTTGACACTTGTCTGGTGGCTTCAAGCCAGTTTCTGGTCTACCAAAATAGGTTATCAGTTATGTGTAACAGTGACAAATGACCCACTCTAGTAGTTCTGAAATGGAATGGCCTTCCCAGGTTAGTCTTACTTTTAGCCTATCCTAGGGTTGAGGTATTTTTGTTTTAAGCAGAAGGGATGACAGTTTGAGAGTGAATTTACTGGCATGATGGTGGTCAGAGAAAAATAGAGAACAGATTTTAAAACTTAATGATCAGGCTCTTCATATAATGAGAGATGATTCTTCCTTCACTGCATAGATCTGTGTGAATGTGAGGGCCCAGGTGGAGTTCTGGGGAGGGTTGTATGACTCTCCTTCTTTAGACATTGCTTTATGAGAGCGCTCCCTTGTCTGGACATAAAAGTTGAACGGGGCCCTTGAGCACATTTTAGCATTTTACCCTTCTAGTAATCCACAGTCTTTCAAGACTGTGGATTATAGCCTCTATTTAATAAAGGAAATTTGTTTAATTAACTCTTGCCCTTGTATGTCTTAAATTTATCCCTT